GGAAGGGAAATCCCATCTGGAGTCCTACTCTGAGATGGGCTACAGCTGCTCTGACCAACTGATTTTAAAAAATCCTGCAAAAGAAGATGAATAGTAAGCCTTCGGGGGCTACAGCCAAAATCGGCCAAGTGCATGAAGCTGTCCAAAGTAATCAGGATGAAAATTACTTCTGAAGTTGCAAAAGGGTCTCAGCATAGCCAGAAATAGGACAGTAAAATGGCAGATGAAATTTTCAGATGAAGTGCTGATAAATTTAAGTGAAACCCATTAGAAAGCACGGTTCTACCTTCCAGCATGCAGGGATACCACCTGATATAACATACTGCAAATCAAAATACCATATGCAGTTCTGGACTCTTATCCCGTGGCAAATATATTAGAAACACACACACACACACACACACAAAAATCACAACCATGAACCCTGAAAACAATTTTTGAGGAGGACTCATGACGTTCTGCGAAAGGGATCAGAGGGCACTGATCGTAACAGCTTGCAGCAGGATGATGAAGTTTACACAGTTCAGAAAGCAATCAGACAAATTTGCGAAAGAAAAAGATAGAGGGAAAAAAATCATTTTGGTGCTATTAAAAACACAGGCATCATTTCTGGTCAGGAGATCTTTGAACCATGAATCACTGCAGTCCGACAGAACCTTCTGGAAGCACCAGTATGGGCCTGTCCTCTTCTTGTGCTCTTCCTGCAGGACTTGCAAACTGCCCACTGTCAGAAACAGGGGAATGAGCAAGCTGGCCCTTTGGTCTGCTTCTTCTTTGTACTTTCTACATTTAAAAAAGACCCCAAAGGCTATGAAATTTTTGCTGCAGCGCACATCATGCTGTACTGTACCTGAAACCTCAGCAGGAGCTGTTTGTCTACAGGCTGCATGATAGGAAGAGAGAAGGACAGCCAAAAAGCTTTGACTAAATGTGAGAGTGCTGAAATAATTTCTGTGATTAAACCCACAGTGAGCAACCGGTGCTGAACTGAAGCACTGCAGCACGCTGCTGTGCACATCAACAAAATGGCCGCACGACACAGTCGTGGAAGTGAGAGCTGGCAGCTAACGAAATGCCAGAATTAAGGCTTTGTCTTCACCCTGTTTCAGAGCATAGAGTTTGGAACAGTGGTTCCTCTTGCCTGTAATCCTTGGTTTTGCTGGGTTTTGTCTTTAATCTAGGAGCAAAGATGTTTGTACCATCACACGTGTACTCACGGAGGCTGCATGACGTACACAGGTCACCTTAACTCTGACACAGCCCAGGTGACAAACACCTGAGTGCTTGACTTTACAGCGATGGTATCGATAATTTCATTTGGTCTGTGTGTTTTTGAGTGAATAATCAATATGAATAATTCCTGAAATCAACAACACCTTGTACACATTTTGAGAGGACTTCCCTCTAGCAAACCTGGTGTGGCCTGGCAGGGCCCCCTGCACGTGAGCAGGGGCAAGGCCAATGCCACTCACGGGCACTGACCCAACAGAAGCTCCTATCCACCCACCACTCATGGGCACTACCCCACCAGAAGCTCTCATCCACCAGCACCCTTCAGTCAGATCGTGTTTTGGGGCGGGCAGTGCTCCCACAGCACCAGACCCCAATTGTGGCCTGTGGTGTGTGTGGGTGCTCGGCAGGCCCGGCCAGAGGGATGCTGAGCACCCACCACGGGCATGGTGCTATATGGCCAGCCTCTGGCAGCTTTCAGAGCAGGAGGACGACTCTGTATGGCTTTCTGATACACTGATGGGTGACGGATGAGCTCTCCCAGTGGCGGTGATAGGAGTAACGCGGTGGCAATCCAAGTGGCGCAAGGGAGCTGAGCTCAGACCTGCCAGCAGAGAGCCTGTCAGCTGTGATTATCGCATCCCTGCATATCTCACTTAGCACAACTGTCAAGGGATAATTTAGCAATCTAAATAAACACCGCAGGTGAGGACTGCCTGTGCTTTGACGTGCCAGCTGCTTCTGATCAGCGGTGGGTGGCCGCAAGCTCATGGCCCGAAGCAGTTCCAGTGCCAGATTCAAACTCCTGGAGAGAGGGAAAATCACAGAAAAATGATGGGTTAGGAGCCACGTCTCTCAGATCACCCCACGATCCACAGGAGGTCTCTGTATCCATTCCAGGGATGGACACATCTGTGATGAGGAGCAGGGACAGCGAAGGCACCGGGCAGCTTTCTGGCACCTCCAGGAGCACTGGATGGGTGTCACGGGAGGAGAGCTGGCTTGGCACGGCCAAACTGCTGACAGCCATCCCCATAAGCTCCATACCGGGTAACGAGTCTGCCAAGCTGTGACATTATTGCCATTTCCCAGTTAACAGCCAGTTCCTACTGCAGCACCGTATCTCAATATGTCCTGGTTTCAGGTGCCCAGAAGAGAGGGGAGGCTGACCATCTTGTACCAGGGAGTCCAGAGCTGGGCACAGCTCTCCAGGTGTGGCCTCAGCAGGGATCAGGAGAGGCGAAGGGTCTCCTCCCTTGACCTTGACCCTCCTTGTGCTCACCAGAAGGACATGTCACCACTTGACATCAGGCAAAGAAACACTCTACAAAATACCAAGCAGAAAACCTGACCAACAAACACATTCTTCCACTGCATGGGACAAGGAGGAGACGCTGCAGATCTCACCTGAGACCAGAGGTTACATTTAATGTACTCTAATAGCCACCAAACTTCTAGCTGACGCAGGAGCAAGGCTGACCTTTTGTATTTTAGAATTGTATTTCTCTTTTGTATTTTAGAAAAATGCTGCCTTAGGGGTGAACATACCACACAGTACCACAGTACAGCAGAATCACAGTACAGCAGATGGGGACCATGGATTAGTACAGGGAAAAATTCTTGTTTTAGAATAAAACACAGGTACAGGGCAATATGCTCCCACCAGTTACACCATGTACAAATGCTCTGGCATCCCTAGGGGAGATGATGGGTGAGAAAGTGGAGGGTGAGTAGGAGAATTTCCTTTTCCAAACAAAAAGCCAGAATGCCTCCCTTTTCCCCCCAAAAAAACAACCCATTAATGCTCAGCAGCTTCAACCCATGAGAAACCCAGCATCTCCACACTGCACCCCATAAACAGCCCAGGACCCTTCTCTGCCCCTGCTGGTGCTGACAGCGTGTTTTGCCTGCTAAAACTTTCAGAACAACCTTTTTCAACACTGACAGTGGCAGCTGTGGGAATATTTTTAGTCATGAGTCTTCCAGCCTCGTCGTAGCTCAAAAAACATTTTTTGACACCATGGGTGGAAATGGCAATGAGCACTTTGTGGTGCTGTGGCGATGCTCCCTGCACAAGCAGCAGGGCTGGTGCTGGGCATCCCCACTCTTCACCCATGGCATGCAGAAGCAGAGGGTGCCTTGTGTTTCCCTGAAGTGCCATGGCAGAAGGTGCTGCTAATTGTAGATACAGCAGCTGGACGATGCTGAATGCCCCAGAGGGATTTTTTAGTAATGTTCTCAGGGGAGGTCTTGCACCTGAAAATGTATTTTGTTCCCCTGAAATCAGACAAACCATCAAGACAGCATTTATACCCGTAGGTCAGGTCTGGAGCAGCAGGTGGGGAACACTTTGGTGGGATTTGAAGACAAAGCCACACTGTAAGAAATTGTCTTTTGGGATTCCTGTCTTCCTGAGGGGTGTGGGGGCTGCGTGTGCCAGTGTGGGAAAACAGCTTGCCAGCAGCGGGAGGGACGGAGCACAAGCCTGGAAGCTCAGTTCCCAATCCCCAGCCTGTATAAACTGTGACTCTTGTCCTCTGATTACAGCTTCCAGGCCAAAATGTCTGAAGATAAGGGTGTTTTGGGGGTGCCAGGAGAAGAAGCCATGACCTGTGGTGGTGCCCGAGAAAGAAAGCCCATCTCCTCACCTCCACGCAGCCACAGGATGCTGGCGCAGAGGGGCTCCAGTCTCTGCAAAGAGGCTTGACCAATCTCATTTAAAAGAAGAATTTGGAAAGTTTCCCAGATTATAATTACCTATATATAAATATAATGATAATTACCCTACCTAACTGAGACCTCAGTGCACGAAACTGACAAGTGATGACAACTACATTCATTAGGAGTGCGAATGTTCTTCCTCTCCTTTATGAAACGATACTGAGTGATTGCTGAAGAAATCCAGCAGCCAGAGATGTGATCTGCAGATACGTGCCGAGCCTGAGATGGATAAAGGCTGCTGGAAGAGGCTGCAGGACTGCCTGGAGATGGGCCTGGGCAGCCTGCTCCAGGTGGCCCTGCTTGGGCAGGGGTTGGAGCAGGTGGGCTCCAGGGGTCTGCTCTGCTGATGCTTTGTAAAGCAATTTTTCATGCTGGCTTTTCAAACACTTTCTATTTTTTCACATGCAAAGGTGTCAGGCTACAGGGGTGATGCTGAACACGCAGAAATACATGGCCAAATGCATCTAGAAGGAAAAAAAGTAAGGCTCTTTCTAGGCCTCTTGGAAAAAAGATGAAAAAGTGATTGTGGTACAAGGTGAGCTTCTAGGCCAGGACTAGAAATCAAGACAGTCCCTTTCCATCAAACCCTGGGTGTGAAATAACACTGAGAGAGGGAAGGAAACAGTGAGAGCCGTAATGCCTTGTGCAGAAACAGGGCGATTAGGAGAGGTGCTGGACACCTACGTCACGCTCCCGGTGTTTTGCTGAGACAGCCACAAGGTCTCAGCCACTGCTGTTGTATGAGCAACCTGCCACGCTGACTTCATATCCTCTTGTTAAGCATTTCGGTCCATGATTTTATTTTTCCAGCAGTGCGACTAATCCCCTGCCTGAAAGTGTTTCATTACAGCTGCGTGCTTCTTCCCATAAAAGCCCGAAACACTTTGTCTTTGAATGTAATTGAATATCTGGAAAGCAGCAGTTCAGACCCATTTGAAGGTGCCTTGGCTTTCACTCTGCCTTCATGCTTCTCCACCAGACGTTCTTTAGATACGTTATTTAATAAAGACTTGCAAGAAATTCCTTTTTTTTATTATTATTTATTTATTTCTCTGTGTAAAGGCTTCTGTGTCTGAGTGCAGTCAGGGCATGGAGAGCTCATAGGAAAAGGCAGCAGGGGGCTCTGCTGCAGAGCAGTGGTCCCCTCTTCTGGGAAAGAGTGGGACAGGAGGGTGTGTGGATGGCACAGAAATACCCAGGATGGATGAATCTGATGCTATCAAATCTAACCAGCTTCTGGAGGGGTGACAACACATCTTGCAGCGCTGAGTGAACGGGCAACCTAATGGCAGGCGATGCTGCACCGAGAAGCACAAAGTTGTGGCAAATGGTGGGAAAACCCTAATGTTAGCTCCATAATAATACATGCTACTAATGCAATGCTATAGCCAGAAAAAAAAAAAAAAAAAAAAAAAAAAAAGATTTTGGAGACATTCAAATCTCTGGAAAACAGCATTTTGGTATCAAATGTATAAACATTTTGTTATCAAAATGCTTTTGGTATTTGATTTTTGGTATCAAAAGGGTAAATCAAAAGGTTAAATAGAGCTTTAGGAATTATTAGAGGAGAAACTGAGAGCATCCAAACTCAATATCCATACCCTATGTAAAAGCAGAACACATCCTACACCATGAATACACTGTGCAATCCTGTGCACTGCTTCTGCTCTTTCTTTTGGGAGGCTGCTTCACAGACAGAAACCCTTCTGTACCAGAACTGGGACCCTAATATTCAGTATAGTTTCCCTCTTACGTGTCACCTCATTGCTCCTGACGCTCCTGTGCCACAGGAATACAATTTCTGCAAGGCAGTGTTGGACTCCTGCCTGTTCCAGTCCTGTCTCTTAGCCCAGGTAAATATGTCTGTCTTCCACACTCTTTTCTTATTAACTAGTCCCTTAATCCCCCGATTACATATCAGGAGCTGGCAAAGCAAGCACATCTGTCGTGCTGCTCCTTCATTTAGGGAGAAGGGACTGCTCCCTCAGCAAACTCACCTGAGCCTCTGGGCAAAGCCACCAGAGCTGATTTTGGACCTGGTGGCACAGCACGAGACTCTGCCCAGAGAAGGGGTGGAGTCCCCATCCCTGGAGGTATTTGAGAGACACACGAATGTGGCACCGAGGGACGTGGTTTAGTGATGGGCCTCTGTAGGTCAGGCTGATGGTTGGACTTGGTGACTTTGAAGGTCTTTTCCAACCTGAGTGATCCTATGGTTCTGAAGTAAGAACATCATACAAATCTATAAATCAGGGCTTTCCACATCTCTTATTTAAACTGGAGCATCAGTTTTGGCATACTCTGCTGTTACAGAGTGTTTTTAGGACTGCATTTACAATGCATTCGCCTCCTCACCACTTCAGTCTTCCCATAAATCAGAGTCGAGCCACACTCAGACTTTATTTGCTCTTAGCTGCCGTGCAACTTCTGGGCATGAGATTTGCTCTTCTATTGGTGTATTTGTCTGTTTGCATGTTTTAACTAGTTGAATCTTTAGCTAATGTAAGTGAGGGGAAAGAATACCAAACCTATTTGGAGTGAGGAAATTCACAGGCTACAGTATTTGAGAAGGGTGGAGCTGAGCTCCTTAGGGTAAATTATAAATGGATGGTATTAAGTCTAAGGAAATAAACAAGTTACAACACCGAATCACTGCTATCTCCACAGAGGATTTTAAAAGAAGCAGCAATGTGATAGGCTAAAGCAAACTCCCTGCCTAAAAGCTCCAAATTGTTTCTCCTCTCGCTACACAATAGAAGCTACACACAGCCAAGAAGCCTTGAACATTGTTGCTGCAAGAAGGATCCCAGCACTTTGGAATCTGCTCTTGACTTTAAGAATAATTACAGTTAGCAACAGAAGTGTTTTCTGAAACCTTTCCAAACCTGTGTGGTTCCTGCAATAGGTGAAGGTTCAGATTTCATCTCACGGAGCTCCAACTAATTCTTCACTTCTCGAAATAAACTCAGACGAAAGGTGAAAGAAGTAATAACTTTTGCTCATATGAGACTCCTTGGACTGGAAAGGAAACAGCTTCCCATGGGAGTTAGAGGTCCAAATGCCTATCCATACACCAACTTTTGTCGTGCTTCTTCCTAGCGATTAGAGCAATTGTCTAAAATGCTGGCTTTATCCAGCTTGAGCCCACTGGAGTGATGCCACAGGTAACCACTCTTCCTGACACTCAGCCCTGGTGCTCAGACCAGTTTGACACACCGCACTGGGTCCCAGTCTCTTGCTGGGGCTTCAGGCAGGAGGAGACTTTCTGTGGTGCCCCAGCTGTGGAGGAGCTGGGCAGCATCAGACTGGGGCTCCCAACCACGCGTGGTGGGGATGTTATGGGCAGCAGGTGCCCTCTTAACACCCACCACGTGGTGCCTTTCCTCCCTGGGGCCGGATTCTGGCTGCCATGGGCACACAGGGAGCAGCGCAGGTGTCACATCCCAGCTCGCTTCTCTCTTTTTTGTTAGACTTCATCTGGGATCCCAGCAGGCCAATCTGTGCTGGCATGAGATCCTGGGTAACAAAGAATCACAGAATCATTAAGGTTGGAAAGCCCTCCAAGATCACCCGGTCCAACCATCCCCCACCACCAATGCCACCACTAACCCATGTCCCCAAGCACCACGTCCAACCTCTCCTTGAGCACCCCCAGGGATGGTGACTCCACCACCTCCCTGGGCAACCCGTCCCAGTGCCTGACTGCTCTTTCTGAGCAGAAATGGCTCCTCATTGCCAACCTAAACGTCCAGGGCAGGAGATATCAGGAACCACCAACAGGTGGCCTAAAAGCTAGAAAGTTATTTGTTATTCAGGCACACTTTGCACGTATAATGTGTTGTTAGTTGTATCCGAGATGATAAATAATGTTCCCTTCCAGAACTTAGCTATATGCACTCCTCACGTATGGCACAAAGCTTGTATTTTCTTTACAGGTGTTGGAAAATTGGAAGGCTGATGAATAAAGTGTGGTTAAAGGCTGCTTTATGGCTGGGTGTTGTGGTTTCTAACATTATTTTCTCAGAGAGTTGCTTTAGCAGGAATAGATCACCGGGGCATTTGCGAAGTGAGTAAATGCAGTTATAGATACAAGTTACAGGTATAAATTTATGTTTAACATTATGTACATGTAGATCCTGTACAAGATATAGTTTGTGTTGCACGGATGCCTAAACCCGAGGATAATTTTTCATATGTGCAGCCCCTCCCCATGCAAAAATTAGGCAGATAAAACCACTGAGTGCTGGGGGGCACGCCACACATTACCTGTTTGCGATACACTTGAAAATTCCCATGACAGGAAGGTTTTCACCCTTCTTATTCTTAAAAAAAAGTGAACCGTTTGTAACACAGAATTAATGTACATGAATTTTTAAGCATTCTCTTAATGTTCTAATGGGCTGAGGTGAGAAAAGCTCCTTTTTCTTGCAACGAGAGAACAATTTCCCTCACAAAGATGGATGATATGCTGAATCAGCCTTAAGAACTCTTGTTAGACCTAAACACAGGCAACTCCAGCTCCACGTTCCTCTTCCTTTGGTCTGGAGATCTCACAGCAGAACTTAAAACAACGAGCAATTCTCCCCGCAACTCATAGGGTCTTTTCCCTGCTCTTTTAAACCTCATGTTTTAAGAAAATCTCTTGAAGTGTAATTTATTTTTTGTAGAGCTGAGCACTGAATGGATCTGGGTAACAGTGCTATCTTTTTTTTTTTTTTTTTTTTTTTTTTTAATCTCTTTTTTTAAGCATCTCAGTTTTGTTTTAAATTCACTTTGGAAAGAAGCTTGAAATACTCCACTCCCAGGCAAGTCGAAACAGAGCATTTTTTGAACCGTGAAATGAACATGTCATCAGTTGGTACCAAGAAAACAAAGGGTCAGGCAAAACCTCGCCCACTTACATATTTTTATGGAAGTCTCCCATCGTCTTGATGTCGGTGTGATTCCTTCTATAGAAAAGGACAGTTAATACCAGGAATGAGACCCAAAGGGAGTATCTAATTTTCTTTGAAGGATCAGCCTTTGCTGAAAACCTGCCAGCTAAAACATGAGACATAATTCTGATTTTCATCCCCACCTTGAGTTTCTTTTACCAGCGGTTGGCTTTCACCGTTACCGTCTCCAACCCTCTGGAAGCAAGACCCCACAGAAAGAACAGCAAAAAGGAATGGGTCCAGGCCTGACCCCTGCCCAAGCGATGACCCCAGTTTTAACGGAGCTGTATTGGGACAGGCAGGGACATTTCACCATTTTCTGAAAAGATTTGAGTTGCCATGTGTTAAATAAGCCACTCCTTTCACCAGGAGTCAACCTTGCATTTGAATACTGTATTTGCTGCTTAGCATTTGAAATACATTTTTACAGCACGATTATATGACAAGTGGTAGAATGTGTGAAAGGGCTTCGGAACAATAGGAATTGTGTAATTAATGAGAAAACAGTGAAACGTCAGATAAACAAGAGAAAATTAACTGCTCGGCAAGTGGCTCCAAGAAAGAAGCAGGCAAGTAACACAAAAGGAGCAGAACAGAGGATTTTGTGTAATTATGCTCATAATTAGTTTCATACAAATGCTTTTACAATATCTTCCCTTTCCAGACTCTTGGATGTTGCTTCTTGCTGCAATAAAATGGGAAGAAAAAAGTTTAAACATTCTTTTCTTGTGGATCTGTTTAACCTAATAAAAACTCCTGAAACAAGTACTTGGAACTCACATTAAAAAACCTGTAGAGAAGGATTGTGTTGTAACACAAAAAAATTTTTTTTTTTTCTTCAAGATGTGGGCATTCAGTATTGCATGAAGAAAATGCAAAGAGAGAAAAACATAGACTTAACACCAGGGTGTTTTTTATCCAGATGCCAAGTTAATGTTGATATGAATTAAATCAAGTACAGCATGAGTTGTTTGATTTTTGTGAGTATAAAAGGCACCACTACATGCACTCAAATGTGATAATGGGGAAGTTATTTTTAATTCCTTTTGAACCTATTTTCTTCCTCTTCCTTTTCATGAACTACTGTTTTCATCAGAGGATCAGAAAAGGCAACTAAGCTTCTAAATTCCATTAAAAAAAATCTGATGGAGTAAAGCTGAATCAGCTAAACACCTTCCAAAACTGCAATTTATAAAGCTTTTTTTTATTTCCTGACAGACATATTGGCAATAATCCATTTTTTCCCTCCTCCTTGAAATAATGCAGTTCCGGGGATGAAAAGCAGTTGAAAGAATCTTTTTTTTTTTTTTTTAATTTACACAGCTTTCTCATGAGTGCCGAAGAGCCTAATCTCGAGAAGCCTAATCCGAAGAGTAACAACTTGCCCTAAAAGTTGCCATCGTGCCTACACGGGGCAGAGCACATCGCAGAAACATGGTGTGGCATCTTCGGTGTCTTCCTGCTTGCCTCTTGCTGGCTTTCTCTGTAACTGAGCCACCACTTTTTTGGTATTGCTGGCATTTTTTGGCATTTGCGGCCCGTTTTTTTTCCTTTCTCCCAGCTCCCTGCTCCCTCTGCTGCGGTTGGCAGCGCGGGCGCGCAACCTGCGCGCTTCTGGCCGCCCCCAGCAGGGGACGCCGCAGCCGCGGGGATGGGGCCGGGCGTCCACAGGGGAGCACTGCAAACCCAACGGGGACACTGCAAACCCAACGGGGACACTGCAAACCCAACGGGGATGCTGCAACCCAACGGGAACATTGCAAACCCACCGGGGATAGCGCAATCACAGCGACGGAAAGTGCCCGTCGGAAAGTCAGAGAGAGGAGCGACACCGCGCTCACCGGGACAACAGCGAAACGTTGGGCTTGGGCTTTGCTTCTGCTCGCAAACTGCCTAACTTTGCAGCTCGTGCGTTATTTGCAGTCGCCCCAAAGAAATCTTTAGTTGAAGGCTCCGGGTCCTACCTGCTGCTCTCCAGCAAAGCGGCAGCCCCGGGCAAGGCGGGGAGCGCACAGCGCAGCTCCGGCTGGGGGGGACCCGGAGTTACCCTCGCTCTGCAAAGCGATCCCACGTTTCTTTTCTTTCTCTCTCTATATTTTATTTGCGTTTAGTTATTTTTCAATCCCTTTAATTTCGGTTGAAACGACAAACCCGAGGCGACAGGTGGCTGCCGCACGGGGAAACGAGCCGCTCGCTCCGCGGCCACCCTGGGCACCTTCTCCCTCCTCCTGCCCCCGGAGCCGAGCCCGGCCGGGGCACGGAGCCCGGCGCCGAGCTGAGCGGGGCGGGAGCCCCCGGGGGCAGGATCCGGCCCCCGGCCCCCACCCGGGAGGGGCCGGGCGGGGCCGTCGGGAATCCCCGCCCCGGGCAGCCCCCGCGCCGCCGCGGAGCTGTGGGGACGGGACGGGGACGGGGAAAGGGACAGGGACGGGGACGGGGACGGGAAGGGGACGGGGTGGCCGCAGGGACCACGCGGGACCGAGCTGTCCGTGGGGCGGCCCCGCCGAGGGGGCGCTGCGCCCTAGGAGGAGGAGGAGGAGGAGGAGGAGGAAGAGGAGGAGGAGGAGAAAGCGGGGGGAGTGCTTCGGTATTTAATTTTTTTTTTTTTTTTTGGAGAAGGAGACGAGCAGCAGGTTTATGCTAATCGCCCTCTCGGGAGCAGCAGCGGGAGGAGGAGGAGGAGGAGGAGGAGGAGGAGAGGAGCCATTTTGAACTCACTTCAAAGTTGAAGGTGGAAAAGTTGGAGCTCTCCAACCCGCCGCCCGCGGACGGGGACGGGCACCGGGACGGGGACCGGGACCGGGACGGGGCGTCCGAGGAGCCCGGGAGGAGGCGGCGGCGGCGGCGGCCGGGGCTGATGGATGAGGGCGGCTGGGCAGCCCGGCGGGTGGATGGATTGTGCGGCAGCCCCCTGCCCGCCGTCTCTGCCTCCTGAGCCCCGGAGATGCCGCGGCTGTCCGCCGCCTCCTGCGTGTCCTGGGCCGCTCTGCTCTGCGCCCTGGCCCCGGCGGGCGGCGGGGAGCTGCGGCCGCCCCGCACCGCCCCGCTCCTCCACCTGCCCCCGGGGGCTGCGGGGCGCCGAGCCCCCGAGCCCCCCGCGCTGCCGCCCGCCGGGCACCTGAGGGCTGCGGGCACCGCGCTGCGCCGAGCCCCCGGCCCCGCCGAGCCCCGAGGTGGGGGGCTCTGCCCGCGGCGAGCCCGGCGGCGGGGGGTCCCCGAGCCCCCCGGAGCCGGGGGGGTCTCGGCAGGCTGCCCCCCGCCACCCCGGGGCGGTGCGGAGAGCTGGGGGCGGCGGGGAGCGCGGCGGGCGAGGAGCCCCAACAGCCCGCCGCAGTTCCAGCTGCCCAGCTACCAGGTGTCCATCCCCGAGAACGAGCCCGCCGGCACGGCCGTCATCGTGCTGAGGGCCCAGGACCCCGATGAAGGGGAAGCGGGCAGGCTGGCGTACTCCATGGAGGCGCTTTTCGACGAGCGCTCCAACGATTACTTCTCCATCGACGCCCAGACGGGCAGCGTGGTCACCGCCCGCAGCCTCGACCGGGAGACGAAGGACACCCACGTGCTGAAGGTGACCGCCTCCGACCACGGCTCCCCGCGCCGTCGCTCGGCCACCACCTACCTGACGGTGACCGTCAGCGACACCAACGACCACGAGCCGGTGTTTGAGCAGCCCGAGTACCGGGAGAGCATCCGGGAGAACCTGGAGGTGGGTTACGAGGTGCTGACCATCCGCGCCACCGACGGCGACGCCCCGGCCAACGCCAACATGCTGTACCGCCTGCTGGAGCCGGGAGCGGGCGACGGGGTCTTCGAGATCGACCCGCGCTCGGGCGTTGTGAGGACCCGAGCCCCGGTGGACCGCGAGGAGGTCTCTGAGTATCACCTGGTGGTGGAAGCTAACGACCAGGGCAAGGATCCAGGACCGCGCAGCGCCACGGCCATGGTGCACATCACGGTCGAGGACGAGAACGACAACTACCCCCAGTTCAGCGAGAAGCGCTACCTGGTCCAGGTGCAAGAGGACGCCCCGGTCAACAGCCAGATACTGCAGGTGCAGGCCACAGATCGGGACCGGGGCAGCAATGCCCAGGTGCACTACAGCATCGTGAGTGGCAACCTCAAAGGTCAGTTCTACATCCACTCCTTCTCCGGTGCCATCGACCTGATCAACCCTCTGGATTATGAGACTATTCGGGAGTACACGCTCCGGATCAAAGCCCAGGATGGGGGCAGGCCTCCTTTAATCAACTCCAGCGGCATGGTGTCGGTGCAGGTCGTGGACGTGAACGACAACGCCCCCATCTTTGTCAGCACTCCCTTCCAGGCCACGGTGCTGGAGAACGTTCCCCTGGGCTACTCGGTGCTGCACATCCAGGCCGTGGATGCGGACTCTGGGGAGAACGCGCGCCTGGAGTACAAACTCATAGAGATGGCACCACCTGCCGGGGGTGCCCCCGCGGCGGGTGACTCGGGGTTCCCTTTCCAGATCAACAACAGCACGGGGTGGATCACGGTGGCCGCAGAGCTGGACCGAGAAACTGTGGAGAACTATCACTTTGGGGTGGAGGCCAGGGACCATGGCGTGCCGGTCATGACCTCCTCGGCCAGCGTGTCCATCACCGTCCTGGATGTGAACGACAACAACCCCACCTTCACCGAGAAGGTGTACCACCTCAGGCTGAACGAGGACGCGGCTGTGGGCAGCAGTGTCCTGACCCTGACGGCAGTGGACAGGGACGTGAACAGTGTCGTGACTTACCAGATCACCAGTGGCAACACGAGGAACCGTTTTGCCATCACCAGTCAGAGCGGAGGGGGGCTGATCACGCTGGCCTTGCCCCTGGATTACAAGCAGGAACGGCAGTATGTGCTCACAGTCACTGCCTCTGATGGCACTCGCTTTGACACCGTCCAGGTCTTCATCAACGTCACGGATGCCAACACGCACCGCCCGGTCTTCCAGAGCTCCCACTACACGGTGAGCGTCAGCGAGGACAAGCCCATTGGCACCTCGATCGTCACCATCAGTGCCACCGATGAAGACACGGGGGAGAACGCGAGAATCACTTACATTTTGGATGATAACATCCCCCAGTTCCGCATCGACCCTGACACCGGCACCATCACCACCCTGATGGAGCTGGACTACGAGGACCAAGCCTCCTACACGTTGGCCATTACAGCCCACGACAACGGCATCCCCCAGAAATCAGACACCACCTACGTCGAGATCCTCATCCTGGATGCTAATGACAACGCACCCCGCTTCCTGCGCGACCGCTACCAGGGCTCAGTTTTCGAGGACGTGCCTCTCTCCACCAGCGTCCTGCAGCTCTCGGCCACCGACCGTGACTCAGGCCTCAATGGCCGTCTCCTCTACACGTTCCAGGGCGGTGATGATGGAGATGGAGACTTCTACATCGAACCCACTTCTGGCGTGATACGCACGCTGCGCAAGCTGGACCGCGAGAACGTGGCTGTCTACAGCCTGCGGGCCTTTGCTGTAGACAGGGGTAGCCCACCCCTGAAAGCCTCTGTGGATATCCAAGTGACTGTGCTGGACATCAATGACAACCCTCCTGTCTTTGAGAAGGATGAATTTGACATTTTTGTGGAGGAAAACAGCCCCGTGGGCTCTATTGTGGCACGAATCAGCGCAGCTGACCCCGATGAGGGGACCAATGCACAGATCATGTACCAGATAGTAGAGGGCAACATCCCCGAGGTCTTCCAGCTAGACTTGCTGAATGGAGACCTCACGGCCCTGATGGACCTGGATTATGAGAGCCGGACAGAGTACGTGATTGTGGTGCAGGCCACCTCGGCCCCTCTTGTGAGCCGGGCGACCGTGCACATCCGCCTCCTGGATCAGAACGATAACCCGCCGGTGCTGCAGGACTTCCAGATCCTCTTCAACAACTACGTGACCAACAAGTCCAACAGCTTCCCCTCTGGCGTGATTGGCAAGATCCCTGCTCATGATCCCGATGTGTCTGACAGCCTGGCCTACACCTTTGTGCAAGGCAACGAATTAAACTTGCTCCTTTTGGACTCTGCCACTGGGGAACTCAAACTCAGTCGAGATCTGGACAACAACAGGCCCCTGGAAGCCCTCATGAAAGTGTCGGTCTCAGGTAAGCAAGCGTTCGAGGTTCATAAAGTGTCTGATCGTTGGATCAGCATGGGGGCATGGGCAGAAATAAGCTCCTTGCAGTTTAATGTGCAGCTTTCAGTTTCCTGAGGCAGCAATTTATCTGTGAAGTTCTTGGAGAGGAACCACAAAAATGTATCGAGCCCATGTGCTGTGCATTGAAGTGGTGCATTGAAGTTGTTTAGTAAATGTGGATCACGAGGGTAAATAATACATGTGGGGGGGGTATATATTCCCTCGGTTTAGGTGGTACGTTGGCTAAAGCTTTTCTGATGTGGTTGCATAAAGGGAGTAAATAACCTAACTTGTAAAGATGCAGGGAATGCGCACGTATCTGTAGTGCTTGGGGTTAAGCCTACAACTGGTAAGACGTGATGGCTTTGGAGAGCCAGCTCCTCTCACCCTTTTATTCTCTTTTGTTTTTTAAAAAAGGGTGAGATTTTGTATCTATGCTTTTTTAACAAGACAGGCCAGTTGATATTCTCACCTGCACACTGGGAGGTTTGGCTGGTCAATCCTTAGGTTTTGGCTCAGGTCCCTGTTGGCATGGCCCGGGTAGGTGTGAGGCTGGTGGGGCCATGCTGGTTTGACCAGCAGAGTGCTGCTGGTCCGTGCCGCTGTGGGACGCAGCGACTCTTGAAGCTATGAGGCTGTGAAATAGTTGTGTAACTTGGCTCATTGCTCCGGGGTTGCTGCCTCGGAGCTAAGGGCAGATACTGGCCCAACAGCACCAAAATTAGCACTGAGAGATCCCACTGTTGTGGGGGCGAAGAGGGATGAGTATTGTGTGATTTTCTGCCTTGGAGAACCTGTGTGTGTCAGTGAAAACTGGGTCTTCTGTTAGGTAGACTGTTCAATATGTACTTTTTATGCGAGCATGCATACGCTCTTAGGATATTCTTTTTCTGCTCTGTCGCTTGTTTATCATGGAATTACTTTTTATGCCTCTAATTGTGGCATCAATCATGCTATGAGTAATTTCCTCTGCAGGTGCCACTCTATAAAGTTTACAGTGGACCTGATCCCATACTTCTGTTGACTTTCAAACGTTATAACCAGATACATTCCTCGCTGCCTCCCCGTGCAACCCTAAAGCTAATATTTGTACTCGTTTTTGCATAAAATAGCTGCAAGTACTAGGCACATAGAACGACACTTTGGGAGATGCTTCTTTTTTGGAGGATTGTATTAAAAAAATACCAAACTGTGGCGTAATCCTGGCAGTGCTTGTTACTGTAAGTAGTCATTAAGTGCGGCAGGGCCTCAGGGGACAGAGCCCTGCTCTCTGTTGTGTTCGCAGGCTTGTGTTCCTTTTTGCTTCAGGAAAATGAAAGTGATATTAACTGCACTGATTGAATTTGTGGGGGTGCGTCACCTGACAAGCGACTCCTATTTCTTACAAAATGCTGGGGGGCAGCTGAGGTGGTAAGTTAGCTCATAAATGCCGTTTTTGTGTCCTGTGAGGACTTGCAGAAAAAACAAGCAACAGGCTTGTGGCCTTAAGAAAACATTTGGATTAACGCTCAGGTGGCTGCGTGGTCATTGTCTGCCCAAACCAGTAGCTCTTGAGCTAATAGCAGAAGATAAGAACTTGACTTGGAGCAAGGAGCTTGGAGAAGTCATTTTGTTAGACTGAAGAGAGTTTTCAGGACAGAAAAATGGATTGTAGGATCTGTTCCTTTCACAGTCCGACTTATGCAGTTTA